ATAGTGTTTTAGAAGAGTGACTGGTGGATTTGAACCACCAAATTTGTGGTTAGCTCCCCAGTGCTGATTCTGCAGCATCACACCAGGACTTCATGAAAATAAGGCAAAATTTGAAACAAGAGAAGAGATTAGGGACACTAAAATAAGTAAGTGAAAGTTAATGTAAATGTGATTTTGAGATCCATTGGATGAATAGTCAAAATTGAATCAAGCATTGAAAAGTGAATGGCAGGTTTATGATCCAAAATGTCCAAAAGTAACATACACAGTTTTATTAAATTTAGATGAGAAGAATGCTTTGTTACACCTGATACGTCTGAATAAGTATATATATTTTGAAATTAACAGAAAAAATATTATGTCTACATATTATAATATTATGTCTAACTATGTTATGGAGTCCAGGTGTGGTGCTGTGGGTTAATGCATTAAACTGTAAAGTCAGTTTAAACTGCAAAGTCGGGGATTCACGTTCACCAGCTACCTCTCAGAATCCCTATACAGGATTGTTATCGGGATTCACGTTCACCAGCTACCTCTCAGAATCTCTATACAGTTATGGTTGGAACTGACTTGACAGCACTTAGAACTGCTGTGCATGGGGTCGCTATGAGTCGGTTCCGACTCGATGGCAACTGACAACAACAACAACAAATGTTATGGACTGAATTATGTCCCCCAAAATTATGCAAATCTTAACATTTATATTTGTGGACATAATTCCATTTGGGAAATGAAGCTTCCTTCATATGTTAATAAGACCATGTCTGCTAAGATACGTTTTAAGCCAGTAACTCTTGCAGTATTAAAAGAACAGATTAGGGACAAAAATGAAGAACAACAAATGGGAAAAGACTGATGTCACTTAGAGATATGATCAAGAAACCAAGGAAGAAAAGCTTAAAGAAAAGGACAAGAATTTCCCCTCAGGGTGGACAGAGAGCCTTCCCCTAGAGTCAGGCAATGGAATTTGGACATCTAGTTTCTAAACTGTGAAAAAGTAAATTTCTGTTTCTTAAAGGCGTCTTGGAGCCCTGATGTGGCGCTGTGGGTTAATGCTTTGAATAGCAAGTTCCATGGTTCAGTATCACCTTAGAACCCCTATACAGGGTCACTATGAATCGGAACAACAACAACAACAACAAAGGCACACTGGGCTTTCTGTTGCAGCAGCACTAAATAAAAAACTCTATACAGGGTCACTATGAGTTGGAACTGACTCAACGGCATTTAGCAACAAGAAGAAACTAAGGCAAAGTATTATATGATTACTTTGAAAAATTATTATAAAGTACAAGTCCCCAAAGCAAGCAAATTTGCTAAATTAATTAAAGTGATTTGGTGTTAATTATTTCAACCTTTTGCTGAAAGGGTGCCCCTCTTATAAATTAGACTTGATGTACTGTTTGTTAGTGACCACACTGGCTATGAAACAGGGCTTCAGACAGAATAGGTTCATTGTTGCTCAACCCCCTGCTGATAATTTGCATTTTCACCCCATTAACATTGAATCTGGATTTACATTTTAACAAGACAACTGAATTAACTGGGATCTTGTTAAAATGTAGATATATGGGGTGGGAAATGCAGTGGCTTCCTCAGATAAGCCGCTGGACTGAGAACCACAAGGTCCATGGTTCAGCCCACTAGCCACTCCATGGGAGAAAGATGAGGCTTTTTGCTCTCTAGATGATTTAAAGTCTAGGAAACCCTATTCAGTGTCCTATGAGTTGGAAACTGACTTGCGAGCACTCAACAACAAGAAACTTGGAAGACAGCTATCTGGCCAATTGATTGGAAGAAATCCTTATTTTCCAATATTTCCATTCCAAAGATTGTGGAAATCATTGGACAATATCTTCACTCTCCCATGTGAGTAAAGTTTTACTAAAGGTAATACAGAAACGGCTGCAACCATACATTGACAGAGAACTTCCAGAGGTTCAAGCTGGATTCGGAAAAGGATGTGGAACAAGGGATATCTTTGCTGAAGTCAGATGGATCTTGGCTGAAAGCAGAGAATACGAGAAAGATGTTTCCTGTGCTTTATTGACTATGCAAAGGCCTTCGAATGTGTGGATCATGACAAGCTATGGACAACATTGTGAACTATGAGTATTCCAAAATATCAATTAATTGTGTTCATGAGGAACCTGTACATGGACCAAGACAGTTGTTCGAACAGAACATGGGAACACTGAAAGGTTTAAAATTAGGAAAGGTGTACGACAGGGTTGTATTCTTTCACCATACTTATTCAACCTGTATGCTGAGCAAATAATCTGAGAAGTGGGGTTACATGAAGGAAAATGTGGCATCAGGATTAGAAGAAGACTTACTAACAACCTGAGACATGCAGATGATACAACTTTGTTTGCTGAAAATGAAGAGGACTTAAAATACTTACTGATGAATATCATAGCCTGCAGTATAGATTGCATCTCAATGTAAAGAAAACAAAAATCCTCACCAATAAACAACACTCTTTTCAATGGAGAAAAGATTGAAGTTGTCAAAGATTTCATTTTTCTTGGATCAACCATTAACCATCACAGAAGCAGCAGCCAAGAAATCAAACGATGTATTGCATTAGGCAAATCTACTGCACAAGACATTTTTAAAGTGTTGAAGAGCAAAAATGTCAGTGTGAGGACTAAGGTACGCCTACCACAAGCCATGATATTTTCAATAACCTCATATGCATGCGAAAGCTGGATAGTGAATAAGGAAGACTGTAGAGTTGATGCATTTGAGTTATGTTGTTGGAGGAGAATATTGAAAGTGCCATGGATTGCCAAAAGAACAAACAGATCTGTGTTGGAAGAAGTACAGCCAGAGTACTCCTTGGAGGCCAGGACAGCCAGACTTGGTCTCTCATACTTTGGACATATTGTCAGGAGGGACCAGTCACTGGAGAAGGATATCATGTTTGGTAACGTGGAGGATCAGAGGAAAAGAGGAAGACTCCCAGCGAGATGGATTGGCAAAGAGGCAGCATCAGTAGACTCAAGCGTGACAACAATTGTGAGGTTAGCTCAGGACCATGCAGTATTTCGTTCCGTTGTGCATAGGGTTGCTATGAGTCAGTACCAACTTGATCACACCTAAAAATAACAACAACGACAATATACCTGAGGTAGAAATGCCAATCAGAATATCTCAAGTGGAAATGCAAATTCTCAGCAAAGGGTTAACATAAAATGAAAGGTCTAAGTCCAACAACAGGGCAGAAGGGGCAATGAGACCAGGTTTCCAGACACTTACTTTAGCTCCTGAGAGTTAGCAGCCATGAGAGATTTTAGAGTCTTATCTGCTAAAGGACATCCAGAAACACTAAAGAGATAAAAAAGAAGTACACGTAATATGGACATATAGAAATTTGACTCAGATATCAGTGTGAGTTTGTGAGCACACTAATTTACTGGAGGCTGAAAACAAAACAAAACCCCAAAATGGAAATTGTTTTGAACCTGGCTTTGCTATTCTATTCTGTCTAGGCTCCTGAACATTTTAATGATTTCTCTCAGTTTCAGATTTGTTATCAGTGAAACTCCTGGGCTCAAAAACTCAGTGATACAATGATACCCACACTGAGTTCATTCTCATTTCAACAAGGAGTCAGAATGATTTAGTTTAAAAATTTTCCCCTCTATAGGAAAAAAAAAATCATGTCAGTGAAGAAGTTAAAGTGAAGATATTCACGTTGTTGTTTATCCAGAACAGGGATGCTGTGTCCTGCAGGATGAATGGTCACCTCGGGCTACTCCTGCTGTCTCTGCTTAGCTCCACATGAGTATGAGTCCTAAAGCTAAAAAAGTCAGAGCCCAGAGATTAATTTGGTTTGGGCTAGAAAGTGTGGACTACACGTTCAGAAAACCTTTTTGACCTCAAATAATGATTTCTATACTCTAAGTGAAAAGTCTGAAGATTTAATTTAGCTTGATTTCTGGAAAATACAGGAAAAACAAAACAAAACACACACACAAAGAGTCAACTAACCACTCTCCACTTCCTGATGTAAATAATATATTTCTAGAATGAGTGAGAATAAATATTTAAATTAGAACAAGTTGGCAAAAGCCTGACTGAGCAAGGGGTTATTAGTTACCTGCGATGAGATGCATAGTTTCCTGTCACATGACCACTTCCATCACACCCTGGGGTTGGGCAGCTGAGTCAATAAAACAAAAATAATAATTAGAGAGCTGAGAAGATCACATGGATAGTATTTGCTCTGCCTGATAGGTCACTAGGTAGTTTCTCTTATCAAGATCTGTTAACACAGGGTAGGACATTCAAAAGCCAGTGTATTAAGGATTCATGTTTATATAAGAACCAGCTTAAAAAAAATGAAATATCATATCATGTTGAGTCACTTCTCAATTACCTGTTTTCAATAGCACATTGAATATTCTGATTCAGATGATGTAGGAAACGAGGATAAAACATGCCCTAAGGATTTTTTCTGTCAACAATGAGTGGTGTTATATTTCTTTGTGATAAATGTTATACAAATAAATATTATAAGTCTATGCTTCATGATAGTGGCTCTTAGAAATACTCACACATTATATAACAGATTCCAAATTTAAAGCTTTGGTTTTTGGGGTTTTTTTTTTTTTTGAGAATCAACATACTTTTTATTGACAAATCTGGATGGCAGCTAGAATCCTTCCCTGAAAGACTCCCAAATTAACTGTTTTGTACGAGAAAAACAACTAAGTAGTAGCTTCCTAAAATTTTGAAACCACCAACTATAGAAAACAAAAGTATTTGAAACTACTACATACGATGATGTACAAATGGATATTTTAGTATCTGTTGTTAGTAAAAGTTGTTGACAGGACAGAAATAAGCAAGATGTCTAACTAAGATACCCTAGGAACAATTTTGTCTAAAGCTTGAATTCAACAAAGACAATTCCTAATTCACAATGAACTTGAGCAGTGAGTCCCCACCGGCCATCTGCCTAAGACATTCCACCAAGAGTACATGTATAGCACACACTTTTTTTCAGAAGTTAATAATTTCACATGAATTTAGTGTACTTAAAAACAATAGTGAAAAGTAATTAGCCTTTTTTCTTCCACAATTAATAGATACCCTGGTTTCAATCATTTAATTTTCTCTGAATGTTATACATAAGTATAAGTCATTTGGAGTAAGCAGACTGACCTCTAGCCTTACGTGGCAGTGGTAATAATAGTATAAAAAATAAGTTTTGTTATTCATCCATCTAAAATTTTTGGACACCTTACCTAGAATGAAGATATGTATAATAATATATGTAGAATACAGAATTTACTCTTATGAAGGAAATTTTAGCAACAAATAAATATTTATTATTTTCTAGGGTCATAAATTATAGATTCCTGATGTGGTGCTGTAGGATAAGTACTGGACTTTGAACCACAAGGTTGGCAGTTCAAACTCACCAGCTACTCCTCAGAAACCCTACATAGGGTTGCTATGACTTGGAGTGGACGCAATAGCACTTAACAACAACAACAAAGGGTTGTTATGATAAGCATTGAACTGCAAACCACAAGGCTGGCAATTTGAGTCTACCAGCCACTCAGATGGAGAAAGATGAGATTTTCTGCTTCTGTAAAGATTTAAACCTTTGGAAATCCTATACAGGGTCGCTATGAGTCAGAATCTACTTGACAGTGCTCAACAAGAACAACAACAAAGACCATTGTGAGTTGGAATCAACTCTATGGCTAATTTTTTAAAGTGTAGTTTTGGAAGTTTGTATGGTGCAAATAGTTTTTGATTGGCTGTAATCTAAAGCGTGGCAGTTTGAATCCACCTACTGATGCCACAGAAACAAAGGGCTGGCAATCTTTCATAAAGATTATGAAATATAACCTTTTGGAGAAGTTCTATGTGTGGGTTTGCCATGAGACATATTTGACTCAATGGCAACAGGGTGATTTGGGGGTGGTTCTTAAGTATATTTTTTAACTTGTGAGCTTCCACTAACTCATTTCCAGGTAACCATAGATCACAGGTATCAGGTAACCTAAAGAAACTCTGGGAGTCACAACACTTTTATGTCTCAAAAGTTGCTTCATTTTCAGGACTTGATTAGAGCTGAGTCACCACACCATAAAGGAAAGTTGGAAGCTCTACATACATGTAATATATGTAAATATGTTATATATGTAAATAATATAGAACATTTTAGTAGTTATTAACATTTGGCCAGAGTTATCTTGCAAATCCCATTCACCCACTGTACATTATACAACTAGAGTACACCTACTTCTTACTTAGTGAGATCATCATTAGGTCCCAAAGACCAATTTGTTATGCTAAATCAGTATTATGTGAAAATGGAGGATATCCGTATCACATCACAAAATGGAGGATGACAGAATCATTATATAATTGCCAAAGTCCATCATTCAATAACTACCAAACAGGTTGCCATAAACCTTAACCATCATAGCCGGTGCTTATCTCACCTTAGACCTTGGGTGTTCATTATTACCACATGTATGTTATTATTATGCAAAATAGTATGACAGTAGATTTTTTTTACTATTATTGTAAATGTAAAATGTCAGCTAACAAGATAGTCAGTAAATGAGGAGTTGTTGTTGTTAAGTGCCGTCAAGTCGATTCTGACCCAGAGAGACCCTGTATAGGGTTTCCAAAGAGCAGCTGGTGAGCTTGAACCACCAACCTTGCAGTTCAAACAACTTTGCAGTCTGACACATTAGCTCACAGCGCCACGCCACACCAGGACTCCCAAGTGAGGAGTTGGTGTACTCAAAAGGGTGAGAGATATGTTTGATTCAACTGTCCAGCTCCACTTTGGAAATACATTGCCACCTAGTGTGCTAAACTAGCATTGTATTTACTTTATTTAAATTTTATTCCTATTCTTTAGATTGTTGTTGACATTAGGTGAAAGATTTTTGACACATAGCAACCCTTTCTGACAGAGCAGAACTACCCCATAAGGTTGTCTTGGCTTTCTTATTTTTGGAAGCAAACTGACAGGTTTTTCTCCCCCAGGTGTTTCTGGTAGGTTTAATACCAAACCAGGACTCCAAACGGTATTGTAGTAGTTGTTGTTAAGTGCCATCGAGTTGATGTGGTTCAAACTGACATTGCAGTCCAGTGCTTACCCTACAGCTCCACCAAATGGTACTAGAAATAATTATCTACCTTTGGAGTCCTGGTATAGATTCACTTTGAATTTACAGCGGGTTAATGTGCTGGACTACAATGTCAGTCTGAATTGAAAGGCAGTTCAAGGTTACCAGCTGCTCCTCAGAAACCTTATACAGGGTCACTATGAGTCAGAACGGACACGATGGCACTTAACTACAACAACAACAATCTACCTTTTACACTGCACTTAGCTTGGAATGATAGTCCACAATTTAGATCCTTCTGCATTCAAACTATAACAGGTTGACATTTTCTAAAATATTTAAAATAACATGTGGAAAGGAATTCCATAAAATAACTAAAAATTTTTGACAACCAATCCTGTGTGAGAATAAGTGTATGTCTGAAAACAAGGACTTCTCTGGAAGAAACTGTGTTCAGTGAGATTTAAATTTTAGTATGTTTGGTACCGGAATCCTGGTGTGGTGCTGTAAGATAAACACTAGACTGTTAGGCACAAGGTCAGTGGTTCAACCCACCAGTTGCTCCTCAGAAAACATATACAGGATCACTGAGTTGGACCCATTCAATGGCACTTAACAGCAGCAACTATGATTGGTACCAACCCATCACATTGCTTTCGGGCACTGAACCCTAAGAAATATTAAACTCTAAAGGAAGCATAATATTGAATCCAGTGACTTTTCAAATCCTTCAAAATATAAAGTCGATCCTCATTTAGAAAATTGTGGTTGTTAAATGCTGTGGAGTCGGCTCTGACTCATAGTGACCCTGTATAAGGTTTCTGAGGAGTAGCTAGTGGGTTTGAAGAGCTGGTCTTGTGATTAGAAGTCTAGTGCTTACCTGATTGTGCCACATCAGGACTCCATTGTTTAGCAAGTTGTTGTTGTTAAGTGCTGTGGAGTCTGTTCCAACTCATAGTGACCCTGTATAGCTTTTCTGAGGAGTGGCTGATGGGTGGGAAACTCCAGCTTTGTGTTAAGCAATTCAGTGCTTATCCTATAGCACAACACCAGGACTCCGTTATTCAAAAAGTTGTAGTAGTTTTTAAGTGCCATTAGTCAAGTTGGTTCTGACTCATAGTGACCTTGCATAGGGTTTCTGAGCAGTGACTGGTGAGCTTGAACCACGGACCTTGCAGTCCAGCGTACTTACCCACAGCGCCACACCAGGAGTAGTCACGTGTGAAAACAGCTGATGCTAAACTTGTGGTGGTTGTTAGTTGCCGTTGAGTCAGCTCAAACTCATAGCAACTCTATGCATTTCGTTGAAGATCTTTACTGATCCTCCATTTTACCAAGCATGATGGAGAGACCCCTCTTCCCACTGCAGTTTAGATCCTCCCATCCAGTTTCTGTTCTCACTTTTGTACCCCTTCTCCCTTTAAGTAAAAGGAACTGTTACCAAAGATCTGTTTAGCCTCTTCTGAGCTAACTTTCGTGAACTTCCGGTGGTATTTGAAATTACATGCCAGGTATTCAATTTATCATCCTCTAGCTCCCATGACAATCACCTTGGTTAGTTCTCCTTCTTCCTCTGTAAAGGGGCCCCATCTCTGAATTGTGACTTTTGTCTTTCAGACTCTGTCTGTAAGTCCTCAAATTCTGCCTGTGGTCCTCTAACCTTTCCTTCCTATGCTTCCTCCCTCCACAGCCTCATCTCCCTTATGCAAAGCCTTTCTGCTGTCACACTGGAAGTCTATAGCAGACTGTAGACAACCTTGTGGAGGCAGACATCTCCAGTATTATGTGTCTTAAGTCCCACTTGTGGGTGACATAATTTTCTGCCTTGGCACCCATTGATCCCTCCTAGTTGTCCTTTCACCCTGTTTCTTACATGGTTGTTCCTATTTTGTCACATAGTCTCTCAACACTTATGACCTCTAACTGGTCCTCCCAGCCCTGTCCCATGCAGTTTCCTGTGATAGAGATCCCATAGCTAGTTTATGACCTACTTTCTTAACTGTCCTTACTCCTTTTCCCGTTCCTGCCCATGTCTGGTATGATTCTCAGTGAAAAAAACTTC